GCGCGTGCAATACCAATTGCACGCGGGCGCTCGAAGAGCCAGCGGCGGCCCTGCGCTGCCTTAGTGGTAGTACGATACGTGAGGCTTTGGGTTCAAATCTTGGGTCGGGTAAAATTTTATAGGGTTTTTCTGAGAGGATAAATCCTTTATAAAAGAAAGTTGAACCGGCTTCTAACAATACTAACAAAGAACAATAATAAAAAGAAATCGCGGTTGATTTGCTGTAATTTTTTAAAGGGTTCCGTTGTCTGTTTCCAAAACTCATCATCAGATCTATATGAAATTTAAATGGGCCCATATCGGTATAAACCCCTTTCGAACATTAAAAAGAATTTTGAAAATCCAGCCAGCCATGACAGTTAAAAAAAACGAATTGATAGCCTTTTTCTTTTCTGGAGTCGGTTATAAAGAAAGCCTACGTTACTCCTAGTGTAGACAGCTACCTGGTAGTAAAATATTATCAAAATCGGTACAGCCGTTGTTCCTGGCACTGGCAACAACGGCTAGACCGCTTTAGTTTTCGCTCCAGATGCGAAAAACTTGTTTTTACCATTTTTGACATTGGTTTTGCCCTTAGCTGACAATATTTTGTTATAATTTTTTGCAATCAATTCCTGATAGTTGATCCTTCAATAAAATTAGTTTTGTGCTCCAATAGGAATTTTACGTATTTTTCAGGAATTTTTCGCTAATTCTAGCTATCTATTTTTCCATCGCTCTGTACATTGTGAACTCGCATATTTGTAAACTCATTACGTTTCTAAGTAAAATAATATTTCGTAAATTTAAAACGGTGTCACTTCTTTTTGATCTTCTGACCCATAGGGTGGCCACTTCGATCCGGATCTACAGTAAAATGTACCATACATCAAGAAGTAGGGTTACCTCAAGGAGATCTTTGAGAAGAGAGAAGAGTTCTGGTTTTATTACAGGGTTTGTGTAAATAAAAAAATTGTCTTTCAAATTTTTTAACGAACTATATTCATTTTCAGATTACCTACATTTCTTCTCATTTTAATTTTGCTTTTCCATATGTTCATGATATTAAGCCTCCTAAATATTTTTCACTATTCCATGTTGTGATGTTAATATATTTATAAAGTGTGTAACAACTAAATTTAAACTCTAAATTTAGTCTAGTTGGGTATTCATTTGTTTGTTGGCATTAGCCAGGAAGGATGAGGAAGCAATAGAGGGTCAGTCTTCAGCTCAAAAGCTACCAACATTACCACTTATTAAGACAAATAAGTAATTGAAGATCATTTTAAATAAAATTAAAAAATATCGGTACGATGTACAAAACTTGAAGGTAGTGTTGTAAAACCAATATTCGGCATTCAAATGATACCTGTAACGTCTTACCAGGTCTCGAGGCCGAAATCTACATCTTCTTCAGTGCTTGCACGAAAAGAACTGGAGGCGGCAGAGGCAAGGGCTAAGATTGAAATGCAACTGATAGACAAACGGGATGCCAGGCTCTAAAGGAACAGTTCAAGTCCTGGCCAGCGTACTTAAGGATCTTACAGCCGCTTCTACTAGCAACAATCTTAACTGTAACCTGTTAAGTAGAATTTGTATACCAAAGACTAGTATTATATTACTAGTATACCTCCAACAGAATGTTTGTAGCAGTGAAGTAACGTTACCAATATAAACCCATTATGTAATTAAGTATAGAAATACCCTTCACATCCTCCCTCCTATCTTATACGTCAAGGAGGTTTTGCAGCCTGATCTTTTAGACAAGCACAGGCGTGACGTTATTTTGAAGTTGATCAATGAGAAATTAAACCCGGGTCCGTTAATGCGTTCCTTAGAGCAAAGTATAATTGCCTTTTCAAATAGGAAAAAGTTTTTCTTTCAAGGCAAAAAACACTTCTTTTGTGCATCAATGACTGAATAACAATAACCTTAGATTGAGTCATTACATTGTTATTAGAGTCTCACCTGAATTGGCGACAACCAAAAAATGTAACAAGATTAGACAAAGACAAAAGTTAGCGAATGAAAGTGATATTATTTTAAGACTTAACATACAAATGCTCTTTCATTATTCTATTTTGTTGATTAGAAAATAAATGTTGTAAGTATATTTAGTGGAATAGTAAGCCAATTGAGTACACCAAGGATATAATTTTAATCCACTAATCTACTCTATATGGCAATCCCCCCGTTTTTTATATTAAGGAGTGCCAAATGGAGCTTTTACATATATTTATATGAAATATATTCACATAAACATTGCAATTTAAGCGGTTGAGGATAGTTGTTTATACTATTATTATTACCAGCTGACCCGGCAAACGTTCTGCCATTAAAGTTGTCAAAGAAATCAAAGAAAGAGCAGGAAGGTGAAAATACTTTACGACCCATTTAATACTATAAAAACCTACCAAATGTACAAAAAAAACCCACTAAAATTATAAACGACAAGAATTTAGTGGGATGATAATTGTCTTACTGACTAATGTACTCTTAAAACATTTAAGTACGTACGTACAAAGTAAGTAATTTTATTCAAGTCTCTAAGATGATTCCTTTATAAATCAACAATCCACATTGAACTGTCTACGGGGCAAGGGTCCGGAAAGAGGGAAAATCGTGTGCTCTTCCAATTTATGAGACACAATATTGAAAATGTGGACCCTCTGTTACAACAAAGGCGCATTAATGCGATGGACTTTTAATAAAAATGCTATAAACTTCATCTTTTTTCCATAAGGAGCAGTTTAAAGAATGGCACCAGGTTTTAGATCATCATCATCAACAGCCTTTAATAGTCCACTACTGAACATAGGCCTCTCCTTAGAAAGGAGGTTTTGGGCTACTATATCACGCTGGCCAGATTTTAGATCCTTTTTTTTAATTATTGAACTTTTTTTTTTAAATTCAATTTGTGGGACGCTTTGTGCGTTAATTCTGTTTTACATTCTTACTAAACTTACTAGACGTTAAAAAATGGTGAGTCATAGTTCCATAAAACTGAGAGGCGTCACGGGATCCTCTCTTACCGGCTGACGCAGGTGATCACCGATAAATTATGTTTCGTTTCGGATCACCTGTGTCTGATCCGCAAGGAGCCAACGCCTGGGTGTCACCACTGCGATAGCCGGACCGTGGACATTCCACATGCTGGCAGAAAGCCCGGCGTAGGTTGAGCAGAGGCGTGACCTCATGGCGGCTATCGGAGTGGGAATTCTCTCGCATAGTACCATGATTGCGGCCATGGTAGGGAGCGAGAGCTCGTGGAACTTCGCCGTCTCCTTCTGTTAGCAAGTTAAAACTAAGGAGACGGCGGAGCGGGACTGGGAGAAATTTAAAGCTAAAAAAAGCGTGTTATTTACGTATCCCTAAATTTGTAGACAAGCAATAGATCTATATTAAATTAAATTACGGTGACAAGTTATTAACATAATAGTATCATACTGATTTCAACAATATTTCTTTCCAAACAAAATTAGTTTTGCGTCGATGTGTCGAAGAATATTTAATATACATTGTTTATTACACTGTCTAATACTGCCAGCATTCGAAATTTTTAAACCGTGGTATTATCCACAAACGTTGTCTACGAATAACATTAAGAAAATTATTATCACACACTCCATCAAGGTCTGTTAAGGTATGAATAATTAATCAAGAATATCATCACCCTGTTTTAATTTTATCCACATATTTTGTTTACTCATAAATATTTCTAAAAAAGCTTTATTCTAGTCAAATTGTGTTTATGTATGTGTATAACTAGTAAAAATGTTAGAAACTCTACTTTGGTGTAAGAATTGAGAATTGGGAATGGTCGTAATAAAGCTGTGGAAATGCGTTCGCGTGCTGTGGAGATGAATGTGTGATATACGATTGATTGATAGAGCCAGGTATGATGAAATAAATAAATACTGTGAGTTCAAAAAGACTACAGACCATTATTGGTCGTTCATTTCATGTTCTTCTTTCAATAGAGAAAAGGAAATCATTTATTTTTAAAACTGTATAATATTAAATAAATGAAAAATGGGCTAATTTAGAAACATGGTTTCGAAAATTGTGCATTGTAAATGTTTCTAGAAGGTAAAAATTACTTTCATGCATCTAAATTAAGTTCTCTTTAAAACAGTTCTAGTTTTAGAGAGCTTAATTATTAGAACAAAAAGATATAAAGTCCTATTCTGACATTTAACAAAAAACAAAATTTTGCAAGAGGAGGGAATTCCTTGAAATGTTGTGACTGTTGTGACAATGAATTCGCTATTCGGGCAATTAATGACATTGCTCATTTTAAAGTCTTGGAATCAATTTGTGAATAAATAAATTACTACAAGTGGTACTGACTACTTCAAGCTAATAATTATACAACGAAGAGGTCTGATATTAATCAAAGCTGTTTAATTATTGAACAGAAAAAGCTCAACAATTAAATTGAATAAATTGTTGATTATTCCTTGGTGTATTAAATTCATAGTGTGGTTTGAAAGCTTGACAACACTGAGAAAAGATTCTAAAAATAAACTTGCCAACTATTCACAAAAAAGTTTAGGGTTCTTTTGTAAAAAGTAAGAACATATTCCATGAATAGGAGTTCCAAGGGATTATTAGCACCAACGTTGATGTAAGAATTGAGAGCTGGGAATTATAGTAACAATAATGCAGGGAAAATGCGTTCGTTGAAAAATTTGTGTCATCCACGATTGATTGATAGAGTCAGGCATGATAAAATAAATAAAAACTGTAAATTTAAAAAAAGACAACAGACCAGAATGGAGAAAGGAGTATTGTGATGTTTAAGCATGTTTAAGGCCGAATGTTTAAAAGAATTTGCAAGACTCATGTAAGTAGTTTGTCTGCATAAACTAGTGGTACTGTTTAATCAAATTTCATTTTAATTTAGCAATAACTAATTTACACCTTTGGAGTCTAACATTTTTGAAATGACATGTCCCTACAACTAAATATTTATTGCTAATACAAAAACATACTTAACATTTAAAACTAATGATGTACAATTAAAGGTTTGTGTCGAAAATCTCTTTAGATAATTCCTTGCAGGCTACTGTCATTTTATCGTAACATATCTTAATAAGAGCTGGGACATCGTCTCTGGTAAGCCCAGCTGTCGGAACAGGTTCGAGGCATTGAATCACGACATGACCTGTAAAACATGTTATGTTATTAACAATAAACCTACTTTTACCAGAAATCACATTTCCTTAAAACCTACAGATGTTTATCTTAGTTCTACGTAGAGGAAATACTGCAAAACTTTTTAAACCTATTAAAACAATAACACAGTATATTGCTTTTCTGATAAGCAAAGTCTCATTAAATATTTTTTATTCTTAATCATACATTTTTGTAACCAGTGATCGTATACTCGTATTTGCAGTTAAAGAATTTAATTATGTAAATGGCTTGGTTAAATGGCCTAAAACACTAACTTGGATGAAGAAAATAATGATTTGTTAGACAGCTTATGATACACATCTGACACATTTTCTTAATATTAGTATAAATTAAAATGTCAAAGCGTTCACCTTTATTGAAAATACATTTTTTGTTATTTACGAAATAGTAGGGGGACATCACAACGGGTATGATTGGTACTTGCGCTTCCACTGCTAAGTTGAAGGCGCCTTTTTTAAATGGTAACAGTTTTGTGTATTCTTCGTTCCTCGTACCTTCAGGGAAAAACCAAATCTTAACCTGCAAAAGTACATATTTATGAGATTAAAATTAACTTAAAATTACCCAAAATGTATTGTTAAAACATAGTCTTTTTAAAGTCAAGAGTCCTAACAATATTATAAAGCTGAAGAGTTTGTTTGTTTGGTTAAAACGCGACAATCTAAGGAACCACTGGTTCGAATTAAAAATAATATTTCAGTGTTGGATGGCCCATTTATCGAGGAAGGCTATAAGATATATTACATCACGCTACGACTAAAAGGAGCTCAGCAACAATGAAAAATGTTGAAAAACGGGGAAAATTTATTATTTTTGAGAGACGCAGACGAAGTTGAGCGGGTCAGGTTATTTTATAAATAAATAAAAATAAATTGAAAAACTTGTTATACCTTTTGGTTTACCATACGTTCTTTTATTTCTTGAAGTTCTTTGTACGCACTTCTTGAGTTGTTTCTGTTTATGAAAATGACCCCAGCCAGGTATGCGGAGGGACCAAATGGCAAAGCATAAAATAACTCCTTTTTTATTATTACAGTAATCGCATATTTCACTGCATTCCATATGTGACACAGCGCTAGAAAACAGATTTTAATAGAAGAAATAGATTGGACTAATTATAAACAAGAACTGTAAATGAAATGATTTAAATTCAACTTATAAGTAACGATATTAAAATTTTGTATCTCATCAAAGGAGCTGATCTTAAAAAATCGATGAAATCGCTTTTTGAATATTTCTTCAGTTATATTTTCGAAAGGACGTTACAACGAAAAAACAAATGACAGAGTTCCATTTTAGAATTCCATAATTGTTATTTCATTCTTTTATTGTGTGTGGCCAGATCCAGAATCTTTAAGTATGCCTTAAGAATATTATCACAAGTAAAGGCTAAAACCTTATCGTGGGAGAGCCATGCTTCCCAAAAACGGGTCGGCTCGACTGGTGCGATACCACGGCCTCACAGAAAACCGGATGTTAAGCAATTTCCAGTGGCATAGAGTTATTAAACAATAGTCTCTGGGCGTCCACGCTCAGAACACCATACGTCTGGGCGTGAATATCTGGACTGCCTAGCGTATTCTGGGGGCGCAACAGCGCTCGACAGGATATCTGCCCGCGGCGGGAGCAGGCACATCAGGCCACCCCTCGTCACGCTTGATGTGAATTTCTGCAACATAATGGGCCTTCACTCCAACCTCAACGCTGTCCACAACCACCTCGAGACAGTGAAGCCGGCCTTGCTCTTTCTAACCGAGACGCAGATATCATCTCCATCGGGCACATCCTACCTCTCCTACCCTGGCTATCATCTGGAACACTCCTTTGTTGCTAGGGCTGGAGTGTGCGTGTACGTCAATACGCAATACGTACGCAATCTGCAAGGTCGGGACCTCTGCATCTTCTGGCTTCGTGTAGACAGCGATGACCATCCTTGCTTCTATGCATGCCTCTATGGTATGGTATGGTCCCACAGCGGTGACACTGAAACTAACGAACCGAGGAACTCCTGGAAGGTAGCATTTGTGCGGTAAAAAATCTCTAACATTATGGAATCCTTAATCAACTGCCAGCTCTTCCAGAAAATCACCAGCTACTCAATGACCGAATAAGGTCGGGGGTCGTTCAGCTGGTGATCTTCTCATTTATCTAACTCAAAGGTGGGCACAGGCAATTGAGACCAAGGGAGAGGCGTGTGCGGTAAGCTTGGACATAGCGAAGGCCTTCGATCGGGTCTGGCATTAGGCGCTTCTCTCAAAGCTCCCTTCCTATGGGCTTTCTGAGAAATAACGTAACTGGGTCACTAGTTTCCTTGCAGACAGAAGCATTAAGTCGTTATCGACGGTACATGCTCCGACTTGAAATCTGGAAATGCTGGTGTCATTTAAGGTTGTGTGCATACTGTTTCTTCAGCATTACAATGATATGTTGCAAACTAGTAGCATCCATTGCTATGCATATAGTAGCACGGGAGATGCCTTTAATACCAGTCCTCCCAATATTTCTCCAGAAACCGCCATCAAGACTCGAAACAAACTTGTGCCTGAAATTGAAACTTCCTTAGCGGCGGTTTCAGATTGGGGTTGACTGAACCTAGTCCATTTTAACCCAAAGAAAAAAGACACAAATTTGCGCGTTCACCGCAAAAAAGATAATGTTTGTCGTATCACCTCGGTTCGAAAGCACCTCCCTAACTACGTCAGCCAGTATCGAAATCCTAGGCATCGACATATTGAGCGAGGTACAGTTTCGGGGTCACTTAGAGGGTAAGGTCAAATTCGCCTAGAAGAAGCTCGGTGTCCTGAACAGATCGAGGCAGTCTTTCACTTAGGCCTAGCGCCCCCAACTCTATAAGGCGCTAGTTCGGTCGCATATGAAATAATGTTCTCATCTCTATGCAGGGGCACCCCAATAAAATGTTTGACACTTTTTGCCTCGCACAACCAATCTGTGGAACAAGTTATCGTCTGCGGTATTTCCGGACGGATACGACCTTCAAAACTTCAAGAAAAGAACTTACTCCTACGTCAAAGGCCGGAGACGCACTTGTGACTCCTGTGTTACAGGTGTTCATGGGCGGCGGTAGTCGCTTTCCATTAGGTGACCCATCTGCTCGTTTGCCCCCTTTTCCATAAAAATACTTTACTATCGCAAAACTGAGTTTCTGAGGAGTCTTTCCTGTATTAAACTGGAGTTTGCCAAATTAGTAACAAAAAATGGAACATTATATACATATTTCTTAACAAACATAAAAAGCCTAAAAGTATTAAATATTCGTAAACTTGACAAATTCTACACTTTTTTGCCTTTTTAAAGGATTATTATTTTCGTGATTAAAAATAGCCTATGTCTTTTTCTAAGACCATGTTTACAGAGATAAGCATGATCTTAGAAAAGGGCATAGGCTACTTGTATGACCTTTTGTATAGAGATACCAAAATGCAAAGAAATAAAATTATCGAGACAGAGTTTCTTTCACATTTATACTGTTAGTATGGATTTAATCAATTCAGTCAAACTTCAAATGTTATTATCGCAAGGAATTCTGAACATGAGAATTAATTTTAACAAATTTACCCAAGGTGTCCAGTGAACTCTGATGATTGCCAATGATGATAGCTCCTCCTTGTTCTTGTAGGAATTTTTCGTCTCGTATTTGATATTCCACATCAACACATTTAGCAACATAACTCATAGCGCGCGAGAATAATCTAAAGTCGTGTAAATTGAATTTGTTAATACAAGTCTCTTAGAACATAGTTTGGATCATGATTTATTTTCAAAAACGTTAAGGTATAGTAACAGCAAAGCTGCTTGATAATATTTAAAGAATAATTTACTACATGAAATGATGCTAATTAAATATGTCGGGCCAATTATAAAATAGCGCGAGTGCTAATATTAGGATCTACAAGTCAAGCCAAGCCATTCAGTATATTCATTAAAGAATTAAATATCGATACAGTCGCTGTAAGATATCTAAGAGCGTAAGAAGAACATGAATACTAATTGGGTAACAATATTTAATAAACTTATTGGATAAACCGTGCCTTAGATAGTATTAAATAGAAAGAAGAAAATAGAGAGAAGAAAATAAAAGAATCAGCTATGTATGTATCCAAGTTTATGTATTTATTAGAAAAGCACCAGATAAAAATGTATTCTACTATATTATTTAACTTTTCTTACTTTTAGAGGACACTTTCAGAGGAGAATCATAGTCTGTTACATACAAGGTGCTAATTACTTATTATAAATAATATCCTTGAGAACCAAAAGGTGAGGCAGTTATTTTATAACATTAAACTTATGGACAAACTACTTTCCCACAATATAACAATGTATTTAAGCATCGGTTATCTTACTCGTGTATCTTTATTTGCCGTAAATTAATTCTTGTTTTTTACAAGATGGAAATAATTTTAAATTCAACGATGTGACTTATATGCCAGAGCAGTACCATGCTTGTTATTACAAAGCTGTGAAAGAATATCCAGGAGAGGCATTCCCTACAAACAACACACCAATCATATCACCGGTAGGGCATCGTTTATTAATTAACCTACTTCATAAATGCAGGTAGTGTGCGTTTGTGTGTAACAGAAGCCTATGTGCGTCAAATTCCTGGGCACCAGGCACCAGGCACCACCCTATCCCGAAAGGAACTTGGTGAAACGCATACGTTGACCACATTCTATTTACTATAAAGAAGACAAGAAAAATGGAATTAAGAAGTGAAATACTTTGGGATTTATAAGCAAATTTTAAATCGAAACGGGACAAACGCTCTTAATAATGTAGGATCGAACCATATTTACCTTATCCCCAATCTTACATCTATCTATTTATCGTTGTCCCTACCAATGTCTTTCAGGATGTAGTTCCTGAACCTGTAAAAGACTTGGATATAGTATACGTTCGCAACTTACACAAATAAAATTAATAGTTACTACGTGACGTTCCGGTATCGTTTGTAAGCTTTAACTAAAATATTTACTTACTACATTTCGTACGTAGTGTTCTGCTACTAAAGTGATAAGTGTAAGATAATACGCAGCAGAGCTCAAAATATTAAAGATATATGTTAGGAGGGGATGATTGACATTAGAAAACTGGGTATCACAAACAGTTTAAAGTATAACTAGCAAACGGATAGTTGAACTATCAGTGAACACATTGTACGCTACATACGAGTATATGCATAAATAATATAATATACATAATATATCTCACACATCTCACACATGGCCGTCTGATTTCGGAATCAGACGGCCATGTCTCCATGTCACAGGCTCTGCTTAGTTCGGACTAAGCAGAGCCTGTACTATGGTAACCAGACTGCTGATAAACATACTTATATATTTTTTAAATAGATACAAATTATAGATAAATTACACCCGGGCATAGAACAAATGACCGTGCTCATCACAGAATATTTATCCTGGGTGGGAATGGAACCAACGACCTCCGGTTTAGCAGTCAGGGTCGCTAACCACTGGACCAACAGGCCCGTCGAATACACTAAAAATATGTTACAAAACATTGGAACTAATTGTAATTGGTGGCGCCTATGTACCTACTGTGCCAAGTCTACCTGTACAGATAAGCTAAAGAAGAAGATGACACTATAAAGAAAACACTTTTAAACACGTTTTTCTAGTGTGAATAAATTCTGAAATTAAGTGTCAAATATGTTTATTTGAAAAACACTATTCAACATGAAATGCACATCTAAAATAAATTGATTGTACTTACTTCATATTGTAAGGATTTCTTGGTTTCAAAATGTTGTATGGAAGAAGCACTGTTGCTATGAGTAATACGCCGAATAAAAATATAAAATATTTTAAATAATACTTTATTTTATCTGGGCCCTTATTAAGTAACACTTTTAATATATAAATAAAAATACACACGATGGCGAACAAAAACATTGTGTAAAACATTACGAAGGACCGATATCAATAAAACTTACAATCCATCTGTGAATAATTCTTGCAAACAATGGGCTACCTTTAACTGTCTGTTTCTCACGCGTATTTTGTTTGGCGCTATGTGTTAATCATGAACATAATGTATCTCGTTAATCAGTTTTTTTACCAGCGTAGATGCCCCGCGGCACGTAGGGGTATCAGGGATTTCCTTTCTAGGGTACACCTGGTTCCCCGGCTACTGGTACAGGTTTTTAGTCGGTTCGGGTCCGAAATAGCCACCACCACAGGTGGTATCAGAGGGGATTTTCGCACAGAAAAAAAAGGTTTGTCGCAGTGTATAAACCACTGCTACCATATTATATGTATATTGAACTCGAGAATTGTACACTCATATTTTGATAATAAAATTTCATTTTAAAAAATGTAGTAATATATCCCTAGAAATAATGTCAGTCATATTCAGGATATTGTATTGTACTTGGCATGTAATTATAACCTGGACTCAATTATAATAATAATATGAGCTACAACCATAGGTTTTCAATGGCAATATCAAATACTCCCGGCTACTGTTTCTCCAGGGAACCGGAGGTCCGAAGGGATTATCCACCCTGTCACCAGAAACAAGGCCGGTTGGTTCTCCTTTACATTTTTCAGATATACCTCTTTTTCTATCCAACTATTGTTAACAAAGGATCAAGAAAAATTGGATTCTGTTCCTAAATTATAGAGTATCTCATAGAAGTGTGGGGAACTGCAGCTAAAACAAGTCTCAATAAGATATAAACTGCCCAAAATAAAGTTATTAAAGTGCTTTTTCATTTTAATTATTTAACATCGATACAGAAAATTTACCGGGATACAAAATTATTTAACGTTGCACAAAGGACAATGGCAGGTCCCCATACATAATTTTATTTGAAGTGAAAAGACAGCGTTTAAATATCAAAAATGCCTATAACCCTTAAGAATTTATTCTCATAAAAAAATTACTAGCGAAAGAAGTCTAGGAAAAAAGATATTGGATTTTGAATGTTTCGAGGTTAAGTACTAAAATATTGTCAATGTTTTGTTTTAAACTAGATGTCCTTGTGTGTCATATATTCGAAAATATTATTCATCATTATTATTATTTATAAGCAACCCTATTTTGGTGTAGAAAGTGTTAAGCGACTTTCTAAATGGGTGAAGGAAGGAAGGGTATTTGCTTGGCATGTGTATTGGTGTATTGGTATTGGTAACCAATAGAAAAAAATCTTCGCTTAAATAGCAGGTGTAATACTAGCTATAAATACATAAATTATTAATAATAATTTGAATAAATGTACTTCAATACACATTTACACAAGGCGCGAGCATTTATTTACTTATTTAGTTATTCAACAGTCAGTAGTTGTGAATTTTTTTCTAAAATCTAAAGCATGCATCCATTATATTGAGATTAATGCACAACATTTTAAGGCAACACATCATGCATATTGGAGTAACACTATATGTAATTAAAATTAAAATAAACGTATATGAGAGTTTAATACTAAACAAAAGTAAAACAACCAAACAAACTACAATAAAATTGCCTTGTGAGAAATGGTATGTAAGTCATGCGTGTAAGTGTCAAACGACAAGACTAGTAAATGCGACGACGACGTATCGACATTTTAAAAATATCGATGTATGTCTATTTATGTGCCGTTATCAACCTATAATGTCTTTTTCTCATCACACTAAGCAATATATTGTTTTAGTATTTTTCTGTAGGAAAATAACCTAACTATATTCTATTTATTTTGGTGTAGCAAAAATCTTCAAAAAGAGACAAAAATATTCTAAATTATTGCTAATTAGGTTGATTAAGTCACTACAGTACTAGTTACGGTAGCGTATGAGTAAACCCGTGGGCAGAAGCAAATTCATAATCATAATAGGTGAACCTTCGATAGATATTCGATAGATATCGCATCCCTAGTCAGTTCGTGATGGCGATTCTGACATTACGTACTTAGGTCAAATAAAATCTTTAAAAATATCCAATCTCTCATTAGACTTATACAACACATGGCGGTATAATGATAAATCATAGAAAAAATATTTAGTAAGTTTACTGTCAGTCAATTTCAAACGCTTCAGTTTTAGGTAAATATGTTTCTGCCATTGTTCTTTATCAATTCAGCATGTGTTTTTTAACATATCCTAAATTGATAAATTTGTGTGTCAGGATTCATGAAATTATATCTGGTGACGTACACATGCAGTTATCATTCGTAAAAACACAAAATCGAACTTCAAGAGGAGCACATCACCTTGTTTTACCAAAGCTAAGAACAAATTGCGCTAAAAAAGATATTAAATACGTAGGAGTGCAAATTTATAATGCATTACCTAAGAAAATTAAAGACACGGGATCTTTAAGCTTATTTAAGAAATACTTAAAATGACACATCTTGAAAGACTGTAGAAAGTAAAATTATTTTATTTTAATAATTAATGAAATGCAATAAGTGTAAATAGTCCCTAACTAACTTTGTTTATCGATTTTGTGAACTACCCACAACATATTTTAGTGTTGTAAACGAGCTCTGAACCATGTGTGAATGTACCTACTATTTATAATTATGTTTATTTCTTATGTGAAGTGATTTATAATCTTTGAGAAATAAAATGATTCTAACCTTAAATTAGATTTTACAATAACATCAATAGATTTAGTCCTTTTAGAATCAAATTACGATGACGAACTTTAGTGATGTGAGTTAGTCCTGTGTCAATCTTTTCAACAAATACTGATAATAAATAAATTTTGTTGAAGTTGTAAGCAAAAATGTATCTAAACTTTGTAAAGTTGAAACACGTGTAAGTATAGCCGAACCGGAGCAATCCAGAAAAATGCTAATTTTACGCTCTGAGGAGCGCGTGTGGCAGCCGTAGTTATAAAATATGTATGTATTGCGCTAGTCACAAACAGTATTTTCTGCCATGTCTCATTACATGAATCTTTTAGTTGTCTAAGTGCTCGTATGTATATACTACTGATTATTAAATAAAATTTAGATTTTGCCAACCATTCTAAAACACACTTTTCGTAATTTATAAAATAGTAGGGTAGAACAAAATTGGTACAATAGGAACTTGTGCTTCCATTGCCGTGTTGAAATCGCTTTCGTTAAATTATCATGCTGATGCCATCTTATTATCTTATTATTATTGATGTGATCTGAGGGTCTATTAACAATTCCAGTTTAAAATTTGTTAAAGTTTATTGACTATGAATGTATTAATTGAAATCAAGTTTTAAATCAAGCTATGCTATACTAGCATAAGTAGCTTGTATGACTATTATAATGAAAAGTACCTCCAGAAGCTGCATGTGTGCATTTGCTAATACAAATACATGTCTCACACTGTTATAATCACAAGCGTGATTTATAAAATCAGACAATGAAATAATAAAAATATAACTAACTTTATTACTTACTTTTAAGTCCGAGTAGGTACAATACATGTTTTAAAAAAATATGAAGAATGAAAATTTTAAAAACAAGTTTGCAAAATATCTCTTGTCTTTATACATAAATGCTTAAGATATCGGTTAGAATTGACTTATTAATGAAATATTTTTAAAGTTCTCAATCACTCTGTCCCAAAAAAACTTATTTTTAAATTTTACCACCACTCACGTTCTTTGAGAATCTATTCGCGAGATATACAAACTATCTATCTACATTCAAGTTTGTACGAAACCCTCAGTGCGCGAGCTATGAATCAAATGCATCAAGTTTCTACCACCTTCTTACACACTTTCTAAATGAAGTATCTAGTTTATTAGAGTAAATATTTATCAAAGTAAATGAGAGCTCACAGCGAACAGTTTATCGATGAAGGTTAATTCGGCATTCGATTCTGAGCTCAGTAAATGACTGGTACACGATGATATAGTAGTTTAGTACGAATCTGCTTAAGTCGGAACAGAGGATATTATCTAATTAACTACTCACAGACGACCGCAATAGTCATTATATTTTAGTCTGCACAGCGCAAGTGCTGTTAAGTTCCGGTACCTAGTACGATTAGGGGTCCAACGAGCTTTAATATATGAGAAGTTAAATTTCTGCAGATTACATTCTATTATGCGGTATTTTACATTCACGGTTTAAATTTCTATTTATTCTAAATATAATTATTTGGTTCAGTCGAGGTTTAAATCAAGTAAATAGAAATATCTGAACTCTCAGTTCTGTTTTTTTATGTGTGTTAGTTTGTTCGAGTTTCACACAAATTGTCAATGTGCTTATAAATGATGCGGTTATCAGTACACTCTTAGCTAGATGCAGTAGTTTATTACTGCTTATAATAATGTAGTTATTGTACTCAGATGACTCCTGTATTATAAAACATTACTTTCGTTTCAATATTTTAAAGGATACAATAGCAATCTTTACAAACTCAACTTTAAAACAATTTAAGGGGCTTAATCGAAAAAACTACTGTCAGTGTCACCAGCATATATGCTATATACCTTTGCAAAATATTTCAGTAATTTCAGAGGTGACTAATCTAGTGATTTTTTCAGGCGACTTAGGAACTGAGTATTTATTCACATTAAGAACACCACTTTGTATAAATTTAGTTGATGAAAACAGAGGTTTTTTTGTGTATATTATTTTTTTTTTGTTGTTAGACACAAAGTTAAACCGTTAAACACTATAAAGTTTATTTTTAAAATGACAATCGGTTCATATATAGTCAACAAATTAACTACAGGAAAGCCTTGTTCAGTATAGTCTCCATACATTTAATTATAGCAGCATACTTTTCAAAAATATTAGATACCTATATAGCACTGTAAATATTATTATAAAAATGATTTTAAAAGAAGTGGATTTTGCTATGCAAAGTAGTACCAAGGGTAGCGTGTACGTGAGAGTTTTTTATTGTCTCAATCTAATTAAAACACTAGAATGAAAAATGAATGTGACGTGAACTGGTTACTAAATTAAACATTGTAAAGTTGTTGCTCTTAGTGAACACATAGCTAGTTATAGTTACGTTAAAAGCCAAATCTTTTTACATTTTTTTTACCACATCTGGGCTTTATTTTTTTGCTTTTTTTAAAAGACAACTCCCGCACTAGGAATAGATCCTGTGTCGCGGGGGACTTTACAAACATACATGAAACGGACACGAAGTACACCCAGACTCAGAACAACAATTTGTGGATCACACAAAGTGTTGTCCCATGTGGGGTTTGAACCCACAACACTCGGCGTAATAGGAAGCGGCGTAGTGGTCAGAGGAGGCTTTGTAACGGTGACATTGGGAGAGATAACATTTCCTTATAAAATTTGGAATTATTGTTAATATAAATAACAGTTAATCTTGTACAAAACTTTGTAGCCATTTTGTCACAATACCTTCTAGTCAAATGTTATTTAATATTAAAAAATATAAATTAACAAAAAATACTATAACACGTAGAATACTTATATGTAGTTTTAGAAACCTAAAAGGTTTTCCTATCGGAAAGTACTTTACGTTTATACTTTATCCAAATAATTAAAGTTACTACTGCAGATATCGAAGCATTGTAATGTTCAAACCGTATGGGTTTATATAACTACTCAATGGTTGTAAATAAAATAAATATTTGCTTCCTAGAATGATATTCGTAATAATCAAGATATATGGCATGCATGTCTTTCGTTAGAGCCCGAATAGTTTCGGGTCCGACAGAGGCACTTTATTAAGATATGACACGATCGCGTCAGCGTCAGTGTCATACCGTATAATAACAACAGATCTTACGTGCTAGTCTTATTCGCTATAATTTTTGAATATTTGTTTTAGTACTTTGTAAGACATCTTTGTTCACAAAATTATATGCTGAGCCCTGCTACTTATACTAGGTATAACCTGTTTCATAAGCAGCAGTGTTCGATCGTTAATGTACATTAAGTACATTACAGGTACATTAAGTAGTTTTCGTATAGCCAGTGTGCGTGCATTTGTGTGTGTGTGTGTGTGTGTATGTGTGCGAGTGTGTGTGTTTTTTTTTTCAGAGGGATGGACAAAAAATTACTGTTACGTATTATCAGGGTCTAATCTGGGTATGTCGGACTCGATGTTATGACTACACCCATACCGACTAAAAAAACACTTCCTCTGGCGTCAACCTCCTCTTCCCGCAAGGCATTACTTCGTGGAGGGAGGCTCTAGCTAATGCTCTTCCATCGTGCTAATGTCACGGGTTTTGATTTCCGACCGCTTTCTTTCTAACCGACGGAGTTCCTGAAGAACTCCCGTCGCAAAAGCGCTTGTCGCCTGCCATACTGCCTCCGATGACAGCATAGCTTCTATCAAAAACTCTGGCTGAGTGTTCTTCGTAAGGGCCTCTGCCCAGGTACTGCGTAATAGGTCGAAACGAGGACACGCAAAGAACACGTGCTCTGCATCTTCACTAACTCCTGGGCAGGACGGCCACATCGAAGATACCTCCTGCTTATATTTATAGAGGTATGCCCGATAGCACCCGTGTCCTGAGATCATTTGTGTCAGGTAGTAATTGACCTCACCATGATTACGGTTTACCCAGACATCAACTTGTGGAATAAGACGGTAGGTCCATCTGCCTTTTGTACTGGTATCCTACTTCAATTGCCATCATCGTATGCTGTTTAGCCGTTCCTCCTTGCCAAGTTCTCCAAGGCTCAGTGTGGTCCTTACTTTACGGTGGTAAAGGGCTTTCCGTTCTTCGGCTAATACTTCAATTGGCAGCATCCCGGCAATGACGTGCACAGCGTCGTCAGACACTGTGCGAAAAGCACTGGCAATTCTTAAAGCACGTAGCCGATATACTGGTGCAATTTTCCTTCGTGCTTCCTGTATTTTAAGCGCATCGGCCCAGATGGATTCCATAGGTGAGTACGGATGTTACTACAGACGTCAGTAACGCCCTCCTTCTCTGCTTCGGACCTCCTATGTAGGGCATCAGCCTTGATAAAGTCGCTCTGACCACCGACGCTTTGGCGCCCACGTGTTGTGCCTGCTGCTTGAAGTTGAGTCGGGCATCAATCATAACGCCCAGATACCGAAGAGACGGCTGGGATGTGATTTCATGTGCTCCGACTTGCAGTGTGATGGTTTCCAACCGCTTCCTGCCAGTAACGAGTACTGCCTCAGTCTTGTGTTCTGCCAACTGCAGTCTAACTGTGTTCATCCAGTGGCTAATCTTTTCGATGGTAGCATCAAATGCGAAGGTAATTTCTTCGAAATGCTTTGCAACGACCACTACGGCCACATCATCTGGATATGCTACGAGTTTGACTTCGTTTGGAAGTTCTAGTTTTAATAATCCGTCATACATGATATTCCACAAAAGTGGGCCTAGAACTGAGCCTTGGGGTACTCCTCCAGTGACTTTGAATGTTTTCGGACCAGTCTTTGTGTCATATTTTAGGATCCTGTTAGAAAAATAGCTTGCACCCATCCTTAGTAAGTATCCTGGTACCTTCATTTCGTAATGAGCTTTCATAATGCAATCGCATTTGGCGGAATTGCAGGCATTTTTTATGTCTAACGTTGCTACCAGGCAGTACTTCTTCGTACCTCCCTTCCATCTGGTTCCGGCGATTGCGTCCTCAGCTGTATTGCGACGACAACGCTAATTACATCCAAGGTAGAGCGTTCTTTTCGAAAGCCGTATTGGCTGCTGGAAAGAAGCGGTTCGACTGCTGCTTCGATCCTTCTGTGTAATATGCGTTCGAGTATTTTGCCAGCTGTATCCAACATGCAGAGCGGACGATAGGATGTTGGTTCTTCCGGAGGTTTCTTTCCTTTGGGGAGGAGGACTAAACTCTGCTGTTTCCACATCGATGGGAATATTGCAGGCGCTGCTTTAATGGCAGCTTTTAGTGCAATATTTGGAATTCCATCAAGGCCCGGAGCTTTCGTATTCCCTACTCTAGAACATGCTTCGAACAGCAGATTTTCTGTAATGGGTGGAATTTCTTCTGTTTCATATTGCTCTATCTGACGATGTAGTTGCATTTATTGAGGAAACAGCGTGGCAACGATCTTGTATAAGAGTTTAGGACAAGTGGGCGATGGCATTAGCTGGCTGTGTGTGTGTGTGTGTGTGTGTGTGCGTATGCGTGCAGGTGTGCGAGAGAGAGTGAGTGTGTCATTACATAAGAAGACTCAGATACATTAGGTCTATGTTTTGTCACGTGACGAACGTTAGCAATCACTCAGTATTAGCATAGTCCTGTTTAAGAAGCCACTCTGTTACTTTTTGTTTGACTTTATAGTTGTTTAATTCCCGTAACTTAAGATTTAACTGTAGTTTTTTGTAGATGTATGTACTTAGAACAAAGAATTGGTGCTTTGCAAATGACTTTTTATGTGTAATACTTGTAGGTAGGCATTGTGTAGTTGAGCATTTTTTAGGGTCAGGTGGGCCGTCGGGGTACCAGGGACTTCCTTTCTAGGGTACACCTGGTTCCCCGGCTATTAGTACCCGGCGACGGCGTGCGGTTTTAGTCGGTTCGAGTCCGACATGCCACCGACAGGTGGTATCCGAGGGGATTTCCGCACGGAAAAAAAAAAAAAAAGGGTCAGGTGGGCCAATGTTTCTATGTTTTCTCAAGGTTGACTGGTGCACATAGAGTTGGCAGACTGTACGAACATTACAGTCAGCATAGACCTGTGTGGTTGGGTATCTATACGGTCTCTTCATCATTACCTTTAGTACAGCTCTCTGCGCTCTTTCCACCCTCAGGAGACTAGTTTTGTTTGCACATCCCCATACTGTTATGCAGTAACCTATAATTGGCTGACTAAGCGCAAAGTATGTCTATTCTCAATATATCCAAGCCTGTCGCTCCCCTGAGAGACTTAAAAACGTATGTCTCCATTAACCTATTATGATATGTTTAACAACATGCCTAGTAATCTATTGCACTGTTTCTAAAATAATATTTGAAAAAAAGGCTAGTGGTAAATTATACATACATTTTATCTTTAATACTGTGTTTTTATTAGATACGTATGAGAATGATACCGCAACAGATGCCGCAAGCCGAGCCAAAAATACTCATAACGATATGATACCTTTTATTACTTTCTTTACACAAGGCAGCACATACGAAGACTTACGAAATATCTTCGTCACAGTTTGATATTTTTTTAACCGTCGCGCCTTGTAAGGAGGTTTTAAATTTTTCTAACATTCTAACATTTTTTTGTCTCACGATAAATTGAATGTATTTTTTTAATTGACTAGAATATTTTTTTAATTTATTTGATTAGGTCGTATTTAAGATTTTATTCAAATTTGAAGAAAGTGTTCTAAGCCCGGAAAATTTTGTTATATACAAAACAGATTAGTACAACTCCCTTAATTAATTTTATTTTTAAGTTTAACATTTTTAGCGTTTAAGCTTAAATAAACTATATTTATTGGATAGGGTAAACGTTATTCGTCAGTGGCCGAAGTTCCGCAGTAGGCGTCGCCGCCCCGAAGATGCGGCAGCGAGAGAGGCGAAGCTGTTAACGGAATACAGGATTGCCAAGAAGACCCTGCAGGCAGCGATAAAGCGGGCCAGGAGTGAGGCCCGCCGCGTATTGCTGGAGACATTGAAGCGGGATTCGATGGGACGCCCCTACCGTATGGTCAAAGGAAAGATGCGCCCATGGGCAACACCGGGCGACTGCTTGAGGGGGTCGTCGGCTCCCTGTTCTCTTCGCGAGTGGTGCAGTATACTCCACCTCAGATGGTCCGGCGCTTGACGCGCCTAACGTGGATGATGACGACGTGCCTGAGGGCACTTGGGCAGAACTAATGGTGGCGGTGCTGCGGCTTAAAGCCAAAAACACCGCACCGGGACCTGATGGCGTCCTAGGCTGAGCGTGGGTCCTGGCCTTAGATGACGAGGCTCTCGAGCCTCAACTGCCAGCCTGCCGGCCCATAGTGTTGATTGACGAGGTGTGCAAACTCTTCGAAAGAGTAATTGAAAGGCATCTCGTCAAAATCTTATTTTACTCAGGGTTTACATCCTACACAGGAGGGAGGCATCTCCAGGCCGTGGATGGCCCGAGGTACGTCGGGGTACCAGAGATTTCCTTTCTAGGGTACACCTGGTTCCCCGGCTACTGGTACCCGAGACGGCATGCGGTTTTTGGCTGCGACAGGAAAAAATAGGGGTTTACATCCTAAAAACTCAAGACCTTTATATTGCTCTGGTCTGGTAATGTTGGACCAAAATTTATTTAAAACTGTTTATAAAGTAATTAAAAATCTAAGACTAAGAGGTTATTAAGACAAATGGTGATTTATTCTCATATAAATGCGATGGACAGTGGACTCCGTGTCTTTCCACTGTAATTAAGGAAAAAGTACTTGGTATACAAATGTTATCAAAGCCTAAAATCAATAAAAACATGTACTACATAATATTCTTTGTAGAATTTATAAATAAATAATACGTTTCCTTTGTTTGAATCAGTTTATGATGAGGGTAAAGAAGAACAGTTTGCATCTAGTTATCCATTGCTAATGTTGAATTTAAGCGTATATTTTTATGTTAATAAATTTATAAATTTAGAAAGAATAAAACTGAACAGTTGAGTGTTCATAGCTTGAACAGGTCTGACGTGCCAAGGTCAGAACTGTTCACCTGTACTTTCAAAGTATTCAAGTTCAATCTAATTCAGAGGCAACCAAAAATTTGTTAAGACTTTTAACACTGAAATGGAATTGACTGTAATTTTTTCTTTATTTTAGTACAAATATCTAATTATGATGGAACAGGATTGTGCACACTTGTAAAACAAAGCATAAACTTTAAAAGTAAAAATGGAAAAAAAAACGCCGGTGACAAAAGATGAATGGCTTAGCCAAAAACCCTCATTAAGTCAACTCATGTCTACTAATAACAAATATTTATGATGCTGATTGGCGAAGACAATACTTCTAGACAATTTATACTCGTTTTTTTTTATAGCTACATTCACATCCCAAAATATTTATTTAGGATTCATTACATTGTGGAACATGAAAAGAAGGGCAACGCTTATTTTGCACAGTGAGAAATGCTGAAAACAATATTTATTTTTGTGTAGTGTTGATGCTGATTCATACTATAATATCGCAACTAAAATGCTAAATTGTCTTTCTCGGTTAAGTAGATATGGATCTTTTTGAATTAATCTTGAATTATAATCAAATTGCCTCCATGCATGCTGCACATAAAGTTGATAGATTTCAATTAAGTGAATTATTGACTATGGATTTTAGTATTTTAATTGTTAGGCCATTTGTTTCTAATTAAACTAATAATATGCTCTGCTTTCAACTGACTTCAAATAAAAGAAGAAGAATGACAATTGCACTGAATTTTATATTATTTCATGTATGTTTCTCGATTTCTCGAAGATAGCTGGACTGATTTAGTTTATTTATGTTACTGATACCTTTTTGAACGGAATACTTATATTACCTAGTTGACTCCATTGTCTATTTATGCTTTTGTATTTATGAATTACGAGGGCAACTTCTAAATAATGAACGTCCCTGTATTGGGTACAAAATATTTTGTAAATAGTGATGAGCATTAGAAAGGAGGTTTTTGCCTACTATACCACGCTGGCCAGACGGGTTAGTATAGGGTTTGTGGCAAGTTTTCCTTCTCTTTGTAGTGCTGTTGTCCTGCCTAGTTTGTTCTCTTAGTCGACTCTTACGACCTTAACCTCCTTACTAGGGAGAGACCTATGTCCAGCAGTGGACTACAAAAGGCTTTTGAGAATGATGATGAGCATTTGAAGTTAGTGCATTTAAATCAGTTAGACAAAATAACATGTTTAAAGTCTATCTAATCTAAGAGGTAACGTTTGACAGTTCTGACAGATTGAAGAATAAGGAAGGGGTCAAAGAATTGGATTCTTAGATATCAATTTCATTTATTTGTATTTACAAATCGTTTACAGTTTTACAGATGCATGTATGTTACACCAGGTCTAGTTTTAGGAACATATGGGCATAATAACTTGCAAACTAGGTCGAAAATACACCTTGCACCTAATTTTATGCTAGTCAACTTACACATACAGATGAGAAAACACAGTTACAAGCAATTATCGCCCTTAAAGGTATTACTCTAAAACATGTCTTTTGGCATCTTTAAAGGACGCTGATCACGAATGATAATGATATTATTATGTTCAGTATGTTTGTTTGCAAGAGTACCTGAGCAACAAGCGGTTTTGTTCTAAATACTAAAAGATGTCTGAATTGAAAATGGCTGGTTATTAATAAGTAATATTATTCTTTCATTTTAACGGTTATTCGTATACAAGTGAATATGTAGAGTCACAACTCTACGGTAAATGACCTAACTACGTGACTTTGAAATGAAGTGTAATAAAAATTCTACTATTCTATATATTGCTTTTTTTTCTTTGTGTAATAGGTTTTCATTTAAATTTCATGGTTTTTCGGGAAAGATTTATTTTAATTGTGTGAGTTACGCATATCGGTATTTTTGTAAATTCTCTTCCTCTGCCTTAGCAAAATGATGTCTGGCTTTCAATCTTTTCAATCTTGTAGTGTCATTGTTGATGTAAATTAGATCTCTAGCGAGTTGGTTTGTGTGATTTTGCAGTCTCTCCTTGTATTTAGCACAATATCTCAGGCAATAAATTCTTGTTTTTTTTTTGATGAATCTTGAAAAAAACATTAAAATATTTAAATTTCAGATTTGTTTAAAGACATGTACGTATTGCCAACTATCTTACAAGGTATATTTGTCTAGGATAGTATCAGAATTCATAGGAAAAAACTTAGAAGATAAAAGACCGGGATTATTAAGAATTAGCGCACAACCCAGTAGTACTAACTATTGCTAACTGGACTTTGATTTGTGCTTCTGATACTGTTGGATATGTATTCACCCACAAACTACGCGTTGGCAGTATACATAACAAATGAGAATATCAGCTCACTCCTCGTTCGTTTAGATTGTCATCTTCAACAGTATCAGAAGCACAAATTA